TTTTTTTTTTTTTTTTTTTTTTTTTTTTTTTTTTTTTTTTTTTTTTTTTTTTTTTTTGTATACTCTAACTCTACTTAGACCTTTGTGTGACCCCTCCCTCTATGAAAAGGGACACCTTGACCCTTTGTCCTTTAGGTTATTGTGTGCGGTGAACTACTAGAGATGATATTTGATAACTAGAAAATTTGTAGAAGCTTGCACTACAGTCTGAAGTTAAGGATTCAGGGAAACTCAAGTACATCAAAGCATGTGTTTGATCTACTGAATGAAAAAGATATAGAAGATTGGTGGAAGAACTCATTTATTTGATTCACACTAGACTAGATACTACATTTTCTGTAAATTTAATTATCGATGCATAAAATACATCCACAAGCAATAACTAAGGTATTGAGATGTTTCATATTTAAGGAAATCCTGAAGTAAAGGACTTCTGTTTACCGAGCATCGTAGCCTAACAAATGAAGGATAGTCTGATAATGATTGGGCAGAATCAACTGTAGAAAGAAATCTTAGCATAGGCAGGCTATTGCATCTTGAAGAAAACCTTGTTGGGTTTAGACTTCAGATCTATTGCTCAAGGTCAATCATATATTATAGAGTTTCTAGTTCTTATTGGACTGCTAATAAACTCATTATCTAATTCAACAGAATTGGACAAATTATGTTCAGATTGATCTTAATTTGAAGGCAGAAGATAATGCTTTGGTCTGCACTCCTTTCGTTCCCCGTGAAAAGATAATCTTCAGGTCCTTAGCAAAAAGTCTGCCAAAGTCTCGGTCTCATCCTAATGTAAGCAACCAAAAATAGGGCAGTGTAGAAGATCACAGTACCAAGTATTATGAGTTCGGATCATTTGGTAATAAATGCCAGCGTTAGACAGCTTGGTAGTACATGCAGAAGATTGTACATTTTTCTACATAATCAATTCCAGGAAATTTGAGGTATAGTGAAGCCAATATTAGGCTAATTTTCTCCTGTCAATTTGTGTATTTATATTGATTGTATTCATTCTGAGACGATTCCTCTCGATCCTCCTGGGACTGTAAATGTTAGATGGTTGCCTTTTATGCCTGCGTAAGAATGTAATTCTCATTTGTCAAATGCATGAAAATGAAAAGATGTACAATTACTTCAATATTAAAAATTATCTAATGAAGTGCGGCCCTTGATGAGCTTGATACTTGGCATGTATATTATATCTAGTTCTAACTTCTTACACGCTTGTGATGGGCAGAAAAATGTAGCAAATCGTATCTCTTACCCTCTGTGTTTTGTTCTTCTCTCTCTCTCTTTTTTTTTTTTTTTGTTGGTTCACTACTTTATCAAGATCAATTTGGGGAAGATCCATTATCCTAGATATTGTAGATTCAAACTTGGACAGTAAGAACAGTCCTGTTATCAATTGCACATTGTTTCTCCTTGAATATTAAAATGAAGGTCCTGTTTCTTTCAAGTGCCAGCCGTCCTTATCATTTCACATGTCATTCAGGCCTTAACCATGACGGAGCAAGATGTTATCATCCTTGAGGTGTTCATTCTTAGGTTTTTCTGGTAGTCTTCTCCTTCCTCATCTATGAGTATGAGAGCAAGTCTCTGATATATATTTGCTTGTACAAAATTGACTCTGAATCTGTTAACGTGCTTCATCTGTGTAGCTTCCTCTTAATCTTCTACTCATGTAAGAACGACACAATTGTAGATGAAGATCTTTCTTTGAATGATGCTACTAAATCGTCGATTATAAGGTCTGTTCTACTTCTACATCTTCATATCATTTGATAGAAAATTTCATGCTTCACTATTGACCTTAGAGTCACTTTAGAAATATTTCTAAAGTGGATAAACCAGTGAAATATTTTATAATAGTACTTCAGAAACTGTAAGAACTTGTTTGTTTCATGGGTTTTCAGATTTATATTTAATTTTTTGTTTATTTTATATGATTTTACTCTTTAAAACCTACGGTATTCGGGTACCTTAAAAACTCAATCAATATGCATTTTCTAATACTCTTTATAACTTTCATTCTTATGCAGTACCCTCTCTTGGTGCAAGGGAAGGGTTTGACGTGACATGAATGGTACTTTGTAAATAACGTTATCAAGCATTACACATATTAATCGTAGAGATTAGAGTATTTAAAAAGAAATATACTTCGACCTTAAGCAGAAAATAGACCACGGAGTCGAGACAGACGGGGAATCTAGAGGGAAGCCATTATAGGTGTGCAAAATCAAACCAAACAGATAACCGGATCTTAAGGAGTGCGTGCCAAGTAATAACTCTTGCCTACCCTAGTTTTGTTAAAATATATAGAATTTTATATAGACTCCACTACTAGTTCTATATATAAAAAAAAAGGACACATCATAAAGTGAGGAGTTCCCACTGCAATGGTACAAAGTTCACTTTTTCATTTTATTTTTTCTCTTCTGGGTTACTTTTAAGCGAAGCATAAAAAAAGTGGGTAATTAGAGGCCATGATGATACATATTATCCAGCTGCTTCCTCATTACCATGCAATTAGAATCTTGCTACTTCTCCTACCTGTACCTGAGATAACGTTCTCACATCTATGCTTATGTCTCATCTTACAAGGTCTTCAAAGTAATGGGGCAGCCGCTTCTCAGCCTAGGGATATGTGCCTTCTTTTCGAGGCAAGGATCTGGATCATCAACCGTCCACCTAAACAATACAAAGGAAAAATAATGATGAGGATAAGAAGAGGAAGTTCGGAATTAGTTCTTGGAACGGGATGAAATGCCTGCTGCTTTAGGAATGTACAGACTCACCTGTACCCTCCAGTCATCCTGTGCAAAAAGACCAACATTGTTAATTTGGCCATGTTGATTCCGAGACAGGTCCTGGGTCCAGATCCAAAAGGTATGAAACTGTATGGCTTTTGAATTTCCTGAAATTATGCCCCGTAGGTGCATGAACAATATATGTTTAGTAGCTGAAGGGGGGGGGGGGG